ACTCAGCTCAAGTACTATGTGATTTACATTTCTAACTACTGTACATTTTTCTTCTCCTCTCTTTATAGAAGTTACTTCTAAATTATGTCTCTCAGATAACACATTATAGGCTGGGCACAGTGGTTCACACCTGTCACCCCAGCACTTTGGGAAGCCATGGCAGGAAAATTGCTTGAGGCCAGGAGTTCAAGACCAGCCTGGGAAATACAGCAAGACTCCGTCTCCACACATACACACACATACAAAATAGCTGGGTGTGGTGTCACGTTTCTGAAGTCCCAGCTACCCAGAAGGCTGGAGTGGGAGGATGGCTTGAGCCCAGGAGTTCAAGGCTGTAATAAGCTGTGATCATGCCACTGCCCTAAAGCCTGGGTGACAGAGTAAGACTCTATCTCTTAGAAAAGTAAAATTTTAAAAATGCAACAGATTATAGCAATCACAGATCAAATAAATTCTCTATTCAAGTTATACTTTTTAATGAGATATTATGATTAAATATTTTTTCTAAATAGACAAGTCATATTATAAATATTACAAAGTTATTTTTATATAGGCTATGGGAGGGATTTTATATATACTATGGGAAGGATGAAGGATTTCAGAAAAAAACTTAAGTCTTATAATAATCTATAATATAAATAATACATTAGCAAGGAAGTAGATACTGGGGGATATCCACTCTCATTCTACTGATCTGCTGTAACAATGATAATCTCAGAATGAAGCCAATCAGACCCAAAGCACAGTTATAACAGGAACCTTTCTATACTTCATTGTAATTTCAGAGTAGCCTGTCATTCTAGATATTAGGCCCATTCCTTATGTATGGAGAATTTTTAAAGTACACAGGTGAAAAGAAAAAAAAAGTAGTATTGCCATTCTCCTGCAATTATTGTTGGAAAACAGAATGCTAGCAAAGACCCTCCCTAGGTGAGACATTCTAAAATCACAAGAGCCTGCACACAGCCCCCTGGTATCAATGGCAAATTGCAATCAATCTGGTATTTGTAACTGTAGTATTCAAAATGGAAGCAAAGAAGGAGATAGAAACATGTAGGAGGGAGAAAAGATATACAGGAGGTTAAGAAAGAAAGCAAAGACAAATTAAAGAGAAAGAGAGATAAAGAATACAAATTAAAGGAAACGTTGTAAAAGAACTCTTAAACCAACGTATGCCTAGTGTTCCACTACTGGAACACCATTTATATCCTACTGCTCAAGGTCATCATCAATGTCTGATTGCAAAAATTCAAAAACTTGCAGCCTTAGGCATAAATGGGTTAAAATACTTGCTGTGAATGGTCATACTTTAACCAACCTCACTGGAATACTGGCAGAGTAAACCCATAAATGTACTACTCATTATAAAATCTTGAATTAGGTTATAATCATAAAACTGTAAATTATCTAATATTCATTATTGTATACATTCTTTAAAAGAAATGTTTGTGCCATTGTAAGAAAAATAAATTGAATTGTAAAAAAAAGAAAACTATAAATCATATTTCTTCCTGTTACATGCTTTGTGTCTTTTGCTTATAAATTAATATTGATCCTATCTATTCTTCCCTCTTCAGACAGTTTAAGTCTCTAAAATCTATCAAAAGCAGAATTAAAATGAGAATACTAAATATAAATCAACTTGGCATCATTATTTACCTAATTAACCTTAATGTAGCAGAGAGAGAAAAGTCGTTTTTTTCTACTCTTTTTCCCACCTCCCTGTCTCACTTCTGACAAAAGAGATATATTTAAGCAAAAATGAAAAGAAGAATTAATTTTTAATTATCTTTTTAATTGCGACAAAATAAAAATTTATATATTATATAAAAATCTCAACACTCTACTGTTCCCTACTGTTATTTTCCTTTCCTTTCCCTCTTTAAACATCTTCGAACCCACATCATTTCTTTTGTACATGCAAAAGAGAATCAAGCTATGAATCAGTAAGAGTCACTAAACTTTATTTGAACTTTTTCATATTTATGTCAACTTTTGAGGTAATAGTTTGACACTTTATTTTTGCATTGATGCAGTATCACAAGAATTTAAAGCAACTTACCTTTAAACTGTATCTATTTAAAATTATCAGTAAAGACCACATCTTCATTTTATCTCTGTTCTAACATTCAAATAATAAAATATGGAATTGACTATCTATTGAAAACACATTTTGAGATTGGCTCACTTAGCACAATGCCCTTGAGATCCATCCAAGTCGTTGGATATCTCAACAGGTCTTCCCTTCCTTTTTACTCCTGAGTAGTATGCCATCACATGAAGTCTGACAGTTTGTATTTATCCATTTCCCTTTTGAAGGATATTTGGGTAATTTCCAGTCTTGGGCTATTACAAATAGAGTTGCTATGAACATTCATATATAGGCTTTCATATATAGGTTTTTATTCATATATAGGTTTTTATTTTTCTAGGATAAATGCTCAGGAGTGTGACTCCTGTATGCTTCTATTTCTATGTCACTCTTAAAATAACAAAATTATAGAGATGTAGAACATATAAGTGGTTGCCAGGAGTTAGGGAAGGTGGAGGGAAGGTTGCCACTATACTTCAAACATGATGACTACTTGTGATACATTTTTCTGTCTAGACTCAAACTAAGATGATGTATTGTTACCTAGAAAGCTAAATGTCATTTCTTAGCGTATCTAATGTACAATTTTTTCATATTACAATTAGAACATATTGAGAACATCTAACCATTGAATAACATTTAATTCACTAAACAGATGAATAAATGGCAAATCAAATTCAGAAAGATAAAAAAACAGGTTTAGACAAATTTGTATTAAAATAATAAAAAATATTAATCAAGTGGCTAAGGGTATAATAAGAAAATCTGCCTACCTGTTAATTTGATATGTCCTATTTCATCAAGCAAAATGCTGTAAATCAAAATTCACATTCAACAAGATGGAATAAAATATTTTACATAAAACATTTACATAAAAATCATAAAACTAAGATAGGTCAGTATTTAATATATTAATTTTTTAAAAATGATTAACTTAAAGTCAATGTATGTCTTACAAAGATTACTTTTTACAAAGAAGTTTCATACAATTCATATAGAATTCCCTATAATATTTAAAAGACCTAACAGAGTAAGACAAAAAGTAGTTCCAGAAATATAGACAACATGAATACAAAAGAAGAATACAGCTTTACTTTTCTGGCTTCAGGTCTCTATAAACAATTCCTAATTGGTGCAGATGATCCAAAGCAAGGGCCAGTTCTGCAAGGTAGAATTTCACATCTTCCTCTGTAAACAGAACCTAGAATAAAATAATGATCTATCATTTGATCTTTCTTTCAATATTCAGCATATTTAAAAGCAGTTCGTTAAAAATGAGAAGACAGACAAATTTAGGAAAATAATAAGATAATAAGCATAGTCAATTCTTATTTGACTGGTATAATTATTAGCAATACCAGAGAAATAAGATTTCCACATAGATGAAACTAAACTCTTTGCATGTGTATCTTCAATATTAACCACTTTAATGTAAATCTTTCTAAAACATTATGTTGTTTGTGTATCTTCTCACACTAAATGCACAGCACGAGATTCACCCTTTTTAAAGTGACTCAGTGTCGTAACATCAATGTTAATTTTAGTATTTTGCTATAATATAGTAACACCCTTGGGAGATTTGAAATATAGAAGATATTTTGTTTTAGCACTGGGAATTCCACTATTTCTACCATTCTCTCTTTTGCTGGCTACTATCATTTCTCAGAACTTTCACTATTAGAGGCTCTACAAACCCAAAGTTTTTACTACACTGACAGAAGCTTTTAATTAGTAACTCTTATCTTACACAAAATTCTGAACTCATCTCTAACCTAAGGGGTGGATCCAAGCCTCTTCTGTTAGTAATGTATATGAGTGTAATGGCACTGTATTACTCAATCTTTTTGTGACTGGAAATAGGGCTGCTATGATGAAGTGAAGAGTAAAGAACTTGAAAACAGCATTGGCAGTGTAATATAAGAAATGTCTCTTAACCCCCTGGGCTTCAGTTTCTAAATCTGTAAAACAGGACAATATCTGCTGTGTATACCTAACAAGGTTGTTATAGGAAACAAATCAATTTATGTGGAAAAAAGCTTTGTAAACTTTAAAATACTAAAAATATATATATGTGTGTGTGTGTGTGTGTGTGTGTGTGTGTGTGTGTGTGTAGCCATAAGGTATTAATATTATAGGTTTACATATAAATTCATTCACAGTGAGTATTCATTTACATATAGAATTGGACACTAATCAACCATTAGATATAATTTTTAAGGTTTAGCAAGAACTCCAGATTGGCAAAATCAAATATTTTTCTAAAACTGGGTTATTTTCATAAAGAAACATCTGGGTTAAAAAGGCTAAAAACTGCATAAACTACATGTCATAATAGCTTACAACTTTCTGTCCACTTACAATTATGACCACTGCATTTCACAATGTAGATCCACGTTACTAGCAAAATTGTAGAGAATGAGTAGTTAATAACTTCTGATATGCCAACTACTTTCTTAAATGATCAATAGAAAAACAAAGACTGTTCATTATCTAAGTTTTGGGAGCATTAATTTTTATATTATAATGGTAAAAGTATAAAAACATCACTTTAACTTGACTTTTATTAAGAATAAAAATAATAGTTGCCTATTCAACATCTAAACAAGGACGATAATGTTCTCTGAAAGTTAATACATAAGAAAACCCTAAATAAAAATTATTCAAAACTAAATTAGGAAAAAAAAAACTTTGCCTAGGTTACAGCTAATGGCAAGTCTATCACATTGTCATGAAGTTGTTTTGGTGGAAAGCCTAATGATAGATGCAAATAAAACCTTGCTAAGTAGCAATTATGTGCTAGGCACTGTACAATCATTATGCTATTATATTTTCCAAACTCTATGAGGTAGGTATTAGGAACATCTTGCAAACGGAGAAAGAAACTCAGAGTAATTAAGTAACTTGCCCAAAATAACACAGCTAGTAAGGAGGAGGCCCAAGACATGAACTCAGGGATACTTGTCTGTAAGAATGAACTCTTCCCCAGAAGCCACTTCTGCCACATGCTATGCTGCAATGTTTGCTTTTCTAAAAAAAAAAATTTTAGGTTCACTACCAATAATGCTTTCCAACCTACTATTCATCCTACTCATAAATCCCCCCCACAAAATGAACATTATCCTAACCTCCAGTACTCTTGATTTAAGCACTTTTAATATTTTGCCATCTGTTTTTCAAATTATTTATGCACATCTGCATGTGAATGTGTCTACGAATGTGTTCTAATACAGTTGAAGTCATGCTACTATATAAGTACTATTTAGTGGCCTCCTTTATCCCCAGTTAATATTATATCATAAGCATTTTTCTATGTCTTTAAAACTTATTTGTAAAGTTTTCAATAGCTGTACAATACTACCATAACAATTCACCATAATTTACCTAAACATTCCCCTTCTTGGCATTTAGGTTATTTCCAGATTTTCACTATTTTAAATAATTCTACAATATGCATGCATATGTACATCTTACTGATATTTATGATTATTTCTTCAAAATGGATTAAGAAATTTAAAAAAAAAAGGAAATACTGGGTCAAGGAGCATAAATATTCAGATTCCTGACATACACAACAAAATTATTTTCCAAAAAGGTTATAGTAATTTTCACTCCCATCAGCAGTTTATGAAAGCATTTGTCTTACCACATCCTTGATAGTATGGAATATGCCCTGTAAAAAGCCTTTTCAAATTTGATGTGTGAAAGTGGCATCATTTTTTAAATTTAAGTTTTGACTTTTAGGCTGAACATTGTTTTTCATGTTTAGTAGTCTATTTTCTTGTGAATTATCAGTAATGTTTGTGCCTATTTTCTATTACTGTTTTGTCAATTGGTATAAGTCAGTTAAATATTAAAAATGTCAGTTTTCCATCATATTAGCTGCAAATATTTATCCAATTTTCTGCTAGTTTTTGATGTTCAGTAATCCTTAATTTTATGTAGTCAAATGTATAGATTATTTATGCATTATTTTCCTTCATTATTTTAATGTTTAAAGAGACATTTTCCATCCAAGGGTCAACAAAATATTTAGTTGCATTTTATTTCAGGGTAACTGTTTTTCCAGATTTAGCTCTTTTACGTAAGTACAATTTATTTTTGTATATGGTAGAGATGGCATTTTAAAATGAATTTTTGAAATATTTAAGCAATTTATCAAATACTGTTTACTGAACAATCTCTTTGCCACAATTTGTGATTCTTCCTTTATCATAATGATACATAGTAAGTCATATATAACAGGATATTTTGGGGCTATATAGTATTTTTCCAATCTTGTGTTGATACTATAATGTTTTGCTTATGCATGCTTTATAAATTTTTAAACAAGAGGATTTGGGGGGGGCAACATGTGAGGATCACTCAAGCCCAGGAGTTTGAGGTCAACCTGGGCAACATAGTAAGAGCCCATCTCTACTGAAAAAAAGAAAATGGCCGGGTATAGTGGAGCATGCTTCTGTAGTCAGCTACTCTGGTACCGGAGGCATGAAGATCACTTGAGCCTGGGAGGTTGAGCCTGCAATGAGTCAGGATAGTGCCACTGCACTCCGACCTGGTGACAGAGCAAGATACTATCTCAAAAACAAACAAAAATGTTACTTCTTTGCATATGCTTATTTTTCAAAGCAAACTATAAAATAATTCTGTCAACTTCAAAGAAACAAAAATCCCTATTGCAGCTTTATTTGGAATTTTGTTAAGCCAATAAATTAATTTTAGAAGAACTGACAGCTTTACAATAATCAGCCATACATTCTACTACATTTTCTTGATATAAGCAAAATAGAGCATGGCTTAAGAATTATGTTTGTTTACTTGTGTATTTGTGTGTGTATATGTGTGTATGTACATTCTGAGGAAGGAAAATCTCGGTAGGTATCTTTCCCTTTAAAATACAAATGACATACAGTATAAGATTCTTTAAAACATACAAAAATGTACTTTAAAAGTATTTTCTAAGGCATAAAAACATGTCCTCATTTTGGATTATTTAACATTTTTTGTACACACAAGTGAAGTATAACCAACAAACATCTAATTATTAATAAGCTGTCTGCAGAAGTAATCATTGAATCATTTTTTAAAAGACTGCTCAATCAATGTACTAATTTATTATCTTTTGGGTAATGCATTCAAAATGCTTGCTCTTACCTAATATTCCAGACTTAGGAATCAAAACTTACTGACTGCATCTCTGTGCTAGTATGGGTTTAGATAGTCCCACATCGAGAATGGAGGTCTGAAGAGTTTAAAAGAAAATTAGAAATGACTACAAGAATTTCTCAAACATATTTGTGACACTTCTAAAATCTAATGCAAGAAATCATGAATAATGGAGCCTTATGATACTGTTGTCCTTCTATGCCTTGGTACCAGTTTTTAACAAGGTCCTTTAAAGATCCTCCTTAGAAGGGGGTCCTAGAAAATCCCTATCACATACTAGTTTATGTTCTATAGTGAAAAATATACCAATAACACACTCTATGCTCATGTATCACACATTCTACACTGGAAATAGACAGATATAAGCCAGACATCTTAGCCACTTAAGCACTGGCTAGCATACCAGAAACACACTATTCCTTTATCACTGCAAGTTTCAGAGCTCTGGAAATCAGCAGTAGCTCTCCCACACTCTACACTGTCAATTCTGGAAGTGAGACATTGAACTACTATCACCCAATTAAAATGCTACTCCCAGATTACTAAAGATAAAATGAAACAGACAAAGACAGGATTTAATCTCATGCCTGAAAAATCTAAATCACAGGACACAACATATGAAATGATACTTTTCAAGACACTGGACATCAGGTAACAAAGGACAATGAATACTGAGAGACAGGGAACAGATGACATTTGCCCCACAACTGCCCTATCTTACTACCTGGAAAGAGTTTCCAAGTGGTAGTACAGGGAGGCCTAAGTCAGGTGGAGCCTCAGAGACTTCCTGAGTAGATAAGCCAGAACAGAAAGTCTCAGAGAAGGAGACAAAATTCACAGGATCAAGTACTAGAGAAGAGAAAATTGTACAAAGAGAACTCTGTGGATATGTAGACAGTCTCCTTCAAGTATTCAGCAGAGAAATACTCAGTACATGTGAGTGAGGACATTACCCTAAACCAGGAAAAGAAGGAAGGGTTAGAGAAACCAATCCATGAACTCAATATGGGTCAGGAATAGTTCCTGTGGCCTTCGACC